TTAAATTACCAAATTCCATAGCAAACAATTTTGAAATTTTTCAACATCAAATTAATTTATCATTTCCAGTAAGGTAAATAAATAAAAACTTCATATTGATTTTGTTAAACTTTATTTAAAAAAAAATTATTTTCTGCAATTAGAATTCAAAGAGAAGAAATATTAGAATTTCATATTAACAACTTATTTAATAATAACAATTTATCAAATGAAACTATTTATGAATTTGTTAATAAATTAGGAATGGTAAATAATACTATATTACATATAATGTTAACAATAATAATCACAATAACATTTTGATTTTTAATTAAATAAATAATAGATGACAAATGGATATGTTTCAGAAATTTAGGTAACCAAACTTTACCAATCAATTTAGTTATAATTATTTTATCAGGAATCATAAAATCTAAAATTAAAAATTTTATTATCATCAATATTTATCTTAATGTTATTAATATTATTATTTATTATTAATAGATATATATTTTTACCATTAAACTTAATATGATCAAATTTCAAACAATTTTCTTTTTTAACATTATTATGATTTATTTTTGGATCATATAAATCTAAAAATTTACTTATCCAATTAGGTAATCCAATTTCATCATCTTTTACTTCAACAGAAGGCAAAACCATCAAGTAAACATTAAATGTGTCATCTTTTTTTAATAATGATAATTTTATGGAAACATATTCAAAGCATGGAATTGCCAATTTTGGAATCGTTTTTGGATTTAATTCAACAAACTTTATATTCCTAAAAACTGGTTGCATGATAAAATTTGGGTTAGTGATCACAATCATCATATTCATGAATATTATTAAGAGAGTTACATTTATCAAATCATACAAAAATCCCTTAAAATTATGTGTCAATCACTTGATTTTGATAAGTGTAACCCCTTAATGAATATTCATGAATATGATGATTGTGATCACTATAAATACCAAGTTTACAGTCAAGGTTAGCAAATTTAGAAAGAAGTATGCTGAGCTTGAAGTTAAGAATATCAAAGTCAAAACTAAGAAAAAAACCAATCTTATAGATAAACTGGAATACAATGTATCACTAATCACGGTGCCAAACAATTATAATTTTTTGG